TCTTGTCACTTATATATATTGGCTTTCCAAATTTTGGAATTTGAAGTTTCCCTGATTTCTCCTTTCCCATTTCTTAGACCAGAGGCCCCCAACCTTTTGGGCACCAGGGACTGGTTCCATGGAGAGAGGTTTTTCTGTGGACCAGAGGGGGCATGGATTTTGCATGCTGCCTGCATCCCACAGATGGGGCTTCACTCGCTTGCGTGGCCCGGTTTCTGGCATGCTGTGGATCGGTGCCAGTGCACAGACTGGGAGTTAGGGACCCCTATCTTAGACCATTAAACTCTACTGCTTAATACTGATTTTGCCAAAGACATATCCAGTTGAGCAGCCTGCTCTGTTCACCCAATAGTTGACAATGAAATACTTGGTCGCCTCTAAGAGATCTTAGAGCTGTTTAAGGCGAGCTACCACTGAAGGCTTAATAATGCATTAGTTTGTTTGAGCTGCTTTTAAGTTAGGGCCTCTTAACCACCACATGTGGTAACAAATTCCATAGTTTAATTATGCAAGATGTATGTCCTTTTGCCTGTCTTAAATTTCCCAATATTCAGCTTTATTGTAGGCCTTCAGGCTCTAATATATGAAAGAATAAGAAAAAAAAACCCTTATCTGTTTTCTCCATGCAGTTCATAATTTTATAAGCATGTACTTCCGCTGACTAATCTTTTTCCCCCCAAACTTAAAAAGGTTTAATTGTTGTAAACTTATCTTGGAGGAGAGTTGATCCAACTCCCTATCAGTTCTTTACTTTTTCCAATTCTACAGTATACTTTTTGAGATACAGCAATTGTTCCACAGAGTATTTCTAGTATGTCCGCAGCCTTCTCTTTAGAAATGGCTCACTGAAAAAGTATAATACTGATAGTTTATTTTTTATCTTTCTATAGCATCTTTTTTTGTATTCTTCACAGTTCACTACACCAGGTTGACATTATCATTAAATTTACCTATCATGGCCCCAAGGTCTGTAACTCATACACTGTCATTGGATAGATATAATTATTTTTTCCATGAGCACCATTTTGTGTTTATATTAAAACATTTTCATGCTATTGCTATTTATCCAGCTTGGAGAAAGCCCTTCTGGAGCACTTTGCAATCTGTTTATTTTTATTACTTTGCATAATTTGGTCTGAACAGCGAACATGGCCATCTCAGTACTCACAAATAACTTTAGATTAAGGGTGGCCAAGCCGTGTTTCTAACCATGTTGCTGAATTACAGTTTTCCACATGTTTCACCATTAGATATTGTGAAAGTTGTAGCTGAGCAACACCTGGAGAGGAAGAGGCTCCTGCTTCACTTGTTAAAAACACACTAACTTCATACAAATTCTTGTCTCTACTTCCTTCTCGTTGATTTCATGTCATTTATTTATCTATAGATATTTATTAAGAAATAAATCCCGGTGTACAATGTTGCCTAGATCTGCAGTTAAATTTTATTTGTAGACAACACGATAACTAGCAATAGTGACATAATCATTGAAATTGTTACTGACAACACAAGCATTTTCTCTAGGCTTATATCCACATGGTTGACTGATTCATAAAATCTATCTGTTCTGCAATGGTAACCAGACTTATTTTCAAATAGTAATTATCATCATTCCAAGCTAGCTCCCATAATCCCTGGCCAGAAAGATACATGTAGAGAAAAACTATAATAGGTAAATATTTCATCCATAAAAGACAGCATCTTATTTTGTTGTGTTTCAAGAAGCATGTACAGAATTGCTTCTGAAGACTGAAAGCATTGGGGTCTAATGGGGCAAATACACAACATAGTCTACACTAGTGTAATTTTTTTCTGGATAAAATCAGCAATAGCCAATGGGAAGAGATTTGGCATTTCATAATAGGAAAATGCTGGTGTCAGGATGCCCTCTGCATCCAAGATTTTGTCCTTGAGGATTGTTCCTTTTTCTTTTGCTTCCCAAATTGCTGCTGCTCAGTTGGAGCTGCTGTGCCTTCAAAACACATTACTTTGTTATGCTGTTACCCAAAGAAAAATAAGAGAAGGGAAGAGAGACCATAAGAATCCATTATACCATGTTCTCTGATATTAAATAGTTTTGTATAGTATTTTTCCATCCTCTGGCGTGTACAGCTTGCTGTTTGACAAGGGGAAAGTCTAAGATTGGTATTCAGGGACACCAATTCACCTCCAGCTGCCCTTATATTATCACGAAGGAACAGCCTTTCCACACAGCAGGTCAAAGGCATTTTTTAGAAAGACATGGAAGGAACAGCCTTTTCACACAGCAGGTCAAAGGCAATTTTTAGAAAAGCATGGAAGAGGCCCACTGCCAGAAACAACATTGGATAAATATTCAGTGTTGGGTATTTGCATCCTTCCATAGGATATTTAGGCTACAGTGTTCAAAAATTTATTTCTGATACTGCTTCACAAAGCTTGCCTTTATTTTGAAACAATAATATTATTCCGTGCATTGCACAAAGCCTGTGGAAAGATATATACAGTAAGTATAGTAACACTGACTGTAAGGCTTGTCTGCTTTATCTGTACTTACCTACCATAGTCAGACTGGTATTTGCCCATTGAATGGCATCATGTGTCTTTGATGTGTGTTGATAGTCTATAGCAGGGGTAGTCAACCTTGGCTCTTTTATGACTCGTGGACTTCAACTCCCAGAATTCCTGAGCCAGCATGGCTGGCTCAGGAATTCTGGGAGTTGAAGTCCACGAGTCATAAAAGAGCCAAGGTTGACTACCCTGGTCTATAGCAATGTTTCTCAGATGATGCCCTCCAGATTTTTTTTTTCATACACATCCATTTTTGTCTGGCATAGATAGCAGGTTACATGCAGGGTTGAGGTTGTTGTCAGTCTTGCTGCTTACTGCAGCCAGATTTGTAGATCATTCTGTGCCATGGTTTCTTTTCTCTATGGTATGCTGAGTGAGTCACAAATTCTCTTGAATCTTCTATATCATCATTTGCCAATTTAACTGCTCTCTGTGTCTGTTGGACCACAAATTCCATAATTTGGTTCATGGCTACACTGATTTGGAATTAAAGGGTTTCTTGGGGTAATTGGATAGATAATAGCTGGATAATACTAATTGGAAATTACAGGGAGTACAGTTCAACATGTAGAATGCACCAGGTTGGAGAGGGTTGTTTTTGTAAACTTGTGTGCATATTTTTGTATATGCAAAGACATAAGTGAAGAGAAACTAATTCTAAGAGTTCATGATAAGGATGTAGGTGGAGACTGTTACCTTGCTGAACTAATTGGTTTCTCTGATGCAAATTACAGTTCTATTGCCATTTTAAGTGCTACATGATATGATAGCAGTGGTCTGTAGATATTATAAAAATTGAGACAGCTTGCTGGTTTCCATTTATTTACTCTAAATATTTTCCCTCTTTTTTCTTACAGACTTTTAATCATATTAGTCTGTTTCAGTGTCTGTTTTGAGCTTCACTAGCTCTTCCACCACCTTCAGCTATGTACCATCTGCTGCTAGTCTCAATATCCACTAAATTATATGCACAGTGGGAGAGATGAGGGCAGTGTGCTAGGTTTCAACCACTGGATTGGGCATATGTGGGATTTCACAAAATACTTTTCTGATTAAGGCTTGGGGGCATGCCATAAATATCCTGAGAAAATGAGAATCTCAATTTCAAAGGCTTCTGACCACATGGCATGCTCAACTTATAAAAGTGGAAAGATGTTCTGAAAAGCAAAAATCAAAGAAATTAAATAACTGGCCAGGCACTCAAATACAATCTTGTGTTTTTATATCTACCATATTTTCCGGCGTATAAGACGACTGGGCGTATAAGACGACCCCCAACTTTTCCAGTTAAAATATAGAGTTTGAGCGAGAGAGAGGGGGGGGAGAGAAAACTTGATGAGTAATATGCCAAACCACATGTGTAAAGGAATAAAATAGAATACCCATATTTTCCGGCGTATAAGACGACTGGGCGTATAAGACGACCCCCGACTTTTGAGAAGATTTTCAGGGTTTAGAAAGTTGTCTTATACGCCGGAAAATATGGTATTTTTTTTTTTACATCCTCTGCACTTTTGACATTAACTATCAGTCTGGATGCTGTAAATCCATCTTTACTGCCTTCTCTTTTATAATACTACAGTTACATATTTTATTTGTTTGTTTATTTCTTCAAATCCATGGCCACCCATCTCAGTCAATGACTGGGTGGTTTATAATTCAGAAAAGATATTATGATTAATTTTTTTTTAAAAAAAAATAAAACAATAAAAGCAGTAAAACCAGTAAGGAAAACATTAAAAACATCCAGTTCAACATACACAAGAACAGGTTATGAATATCTTACTACTATGCATGTATGTACACTATACGTGTAGATATTGAGCTATAGGTAAATATAAATATTTAGAGTCAGTGTAGTATAGTGGTTAAGGTATTGGACTAGGAGAGGAGGGGAGAGGAGAGGGGAGGGGAGAGGAGGGGAGAAGAGAAAACTAGGTTTTGCTCCTGTGATTTCTTCCATTAAGCACAGAAGCTGACTTGGTGGGCCAATCACTTTGTCTCAGAGAGTGGAAGACCTAGACTGAGAGGTTGGAAAGCTTCTATCACTCATACCTGCACTGATAGATTAATCTGCCACTGAAGGTAATTTCAGAGGAGAGTCCTTCATCCTGCAATGAATTAACTTTGCCTAATGATTAGAATTAGATATATTAAAATCTGTGAGATGTAGGTTGCTTTTTTCACAAGACACCGCAATAAGAGAAAGGTCCCTGCAAGGAATGCCAAGATATTGAACATATGAGAAGAAAATACATGAGTGAAAAAAGCTGTCCATAGGCAGTTGTTTGGTTTAAGAATTTTATTATAGATTGGTCATGGTATTTCCTACTCTGAACATTGACGGTATTCTATTCTTAGTGGTTTCTTTTTCTTTTCCAGAAGTATTTTGTAGAAGGTTTGAATTTGTCAGCGCTCCAATTTCTTTCTTTGTTCATCTCTTTCAACAGATCTATGATGAGAAGAAGAATTTATTTGAAGTAAGAGACAACATCCCTGAAAAAATCGTGGAGAAAGTGGCAGGGGACATTGAGAGTCTCCTGGCTAAGAAAGTCCAAGCTTTAAAGGTAAAACGGCTCCTCAGTTTCAGTGTATTTGAATGAAAAAGGCAGGAGGCGGGAATGGAATTGATACCTATGATGATGCTCTGATATCCCCAGGCATTGATTGATACTTTATTACAAGGTTTCACAGAACGTTTCTAAGAAATGGATAATGTTAAACAAAGTGCTTGCATAGCTCTTCCAAATATTTTCTCCTTTGCATCTCTGACGTATATAAGTCTACGATTAAAGATTGTGTGAAATGTGTCCCGTAGCCCTTTCCTTTGTAAGCAGTCTAAAGCAGTGGTTCTCAACCTTTTTAATGCTGCGACCCCAACCGGTCGTAAGTCGAGGACTAAACCGGTCGTAAGTCGAGGACTAAACCGGTCGTAAGTCAAGGACTACCCAACCGGTCGTAAGTCGGGGACTTTCCCTGCCCGGGAACGCCGCGCATGCGTGGTTCCGCCCCCTGCGCCGGCCGAGGTGTAGCTGGCAAGCGGCAGAGATGGAGCAGGCCGACCACCAGCTGGCCCAGCCCAAGGGAGGTAAGGCACCCGCTGGAAAAGGGGGGAAAAATGGCAGACAAAAAAAATGGCAGACAGCCTTGCTTGGCGACCCCCATGAAATGGTTGATCGACCCCAACTGGGGTCCCGACCCATAGGTTGAGAACCACTGGTCTAAAGACTCTCTCAGGGTCTAGCCTATTTTGGGCTCTTGAGATGAGTGGCCTTTTCTGCTCCTTTGGAAGGATATTTTGCAAAATGTGAGTGAATGAAACAGAGCATAATAGCAATTGTCTGCAGTTAAATCTGGGCTTTCAAGTAGGTTTTCAACCCAACTTTTCATTTTATATAATTTCCTTCCTTGTTATACAGTGCAGAGCAGATCAGCATGTTTAAGCTGTAATATTAGATGGACCTGACTTTTCCTGTGACAACATTCAATATGTACATTTTCTGTTTTATCTTTTCTGCTTAGAGAAAAGGATTCTCAGTAAATTGCTTTTATATGTGCATATTTTTGCATAGTTTAATTGCCTCAACATTATCAGATATTATTAAATTGTTTGTTATTATGACCTGCTTGTGATTTCCCAGAAACCTTGTGACCATAGTAGTTCATAATGCCAAAAAAATAGAATAGCAATAATAATATATAGCAAAGCAATGATATATATCAACTTTGGTGAACCCTCATTTATTTCAAAGGCACATCAACTTTTCAGTCCATAAAACTGAAATTCTAAAGGGGTAGCAAAACAGCACATGGTAGTGATAGTTCCACAATGTAGATTAAAATCAGTCAGATCCTTCAGAAAGATAAGCAAAAACAATACAATAAAGTGCATAAAGATTAAAGTACAATTATGCAAAAATGCAGTCAGCTTCAGTTATCTTGGCAAGTGGCATTTTCAAAGCTCAGCAGTAGTTCAGGTCGCATCATTCCCTCCTCTCTTTTAACTAGGTCAGTCTTTCCACATGCTACCTTCTTTCCCAAGTCATTCAAAAAGACAATCAGTGGGACTCAGTTTCTCAGTTTGCATACATGGGGCCAGTCTTAGCTACTATTGGTACCTTTACACATCATCTGTGTTCAAGGCCAGTTGCTACGATCTCATCCTACCCCATCCCAGTGCTAGGAGTAAAGTGTGATGCTCCAAATCTTGCAACCTCCACACCAGGCACCCAGAATGAATGTGCACCATACTACTGTACATCTTTAGTGCACAACATTCTGAGAGCTTTGATTGGTGGTTCTCTTAGATGAAATTCCAGCTTCTGCTCAACATCATTCCACATGAAAAGCCCCAGCATACAAAACAGTCTGCTTACTTTAATATTTTCTTTTTTTTTATTTCCTACTGTACCAGAGACCAATTACATTTGTTTTTAATATCCTTGAATCTGTGGATTGACTGTTTTGACTTAATGACCACTGGGTGGAAGCAGAAAGTTAGAGCATTGTGTCTTTTGGCTGCCACCTAGTGGTCATCCAGATTTTTGCTGAGATGTAGATACTGAAAAACTGGAATTTGAGAAAGAGGGCCAACTGCAAAGATTAGTGTGGGAATTGTAAACCTTCCCAAGTACATAATATGAAGAGAGAAGGCAAGGGACTTGTGCTTCCTTAGGAGCAGCAACTGCTGGGAAGGGAATTCCTAATTACACAGGCAACAGCAGAGCAAGTGCCAAACTCTTTCAATTACATTTCAATTACATGTGTTAAGTCATGCATAGGATGGACATTGTCAAGGTTTTATACCCTCTAGATCCAACAGCTGATCCATACATTTATAAAAGAAAGGAAAGGGAGCTGCAAAGTTCCAGATTCGCTGAGGCCAAAGGAAGAATATAGGTAGATAAAGAAATCAGGGACCAGAGTGAAGAGGCTGGATTCATAGGAAACCACTTGGAGTGAGAGGATTACTGATATGGCATATATTTGCCTCCCTGATACATATTAATATGTTCTACAATAGCTGCACATAGTCTCTTCTGGCAGGATATTGGGGAAAACATTACCTCAGAGCATGCTGCAGTACCTTAAAGTGTCCCTGGACCAACTCAGCTACAGATAGACTTGGGGAACATTAGTAGGCCATCCTCAGGCCAAGAAAAGAATCAGTGGATTTGTCTCATAAATTCTACTCACATTTTTCTTTGTAGCCACACATTAATTTTCTAAGCACATTTCAAAAAAAGGCATTTTCTGCTCCATGTTGAAAGTAGTGTTTTTCAGTGTTCAAAGTACCTTTCTGGTTCTGCCTGTTGAGCTTTTTTCAAATGTTGTGCTCTGATCTGGCAGTGTGCAGAAACCTTCTTATCTGGGTCAGTGGCCATCACTCGGTAGCAGCCTACCATGGTGTTTTAGCAGCATAGTGGTCATAGTACCTGCTTATATATTGAGGGCTCAAAACCCAGCAGAACTACCTATTTATTTGTTGGTGTTTTTGTTTTTTTTAATAAGTCCACTGATACGCCATTTCAGCTGTTTTTCCAGTTACTTGGGAAAGAAAGATTTCATTCCAGTTCTCAAATAAGCCAGATGAATAAGTAGTACAGTTACAATTTACTACCACAAGTACCGGGCGGGTGAGGGGGGGAATGAAAAGGTGCAGCGTTTTTCCTCTTCTTCTTTAAAGAATGTATTGTAATAAAGCAAGTATCTCAGAGAGAGAAAATAAATTTAAAAAGTTCTGCTGGGTTTCAAAGATGCAATGTTCTGCACATTAAACAAATGCTATAATCGCTCTCCTGCTGAGAGGTTCTCTTGTCTGTGGGAGTATAATTTAACTTTGTATACATGTATTTTGTTGCGTGAATGTAGATGTAAAAGTATATATATATCCAGTAAGACTTGCCTGCAGAAGAGATTGGCAGTTGGTTTCCTTATAAGGAAAGTTGCAAAGATATAGTAACTGGGGAGTTGCCCAGCTGGGGGCATGCTAGTTGGCAATTCTAGTTTGAACATCTGGCAAATTGCTGCCAAAGCCCCCAAACCAGACAGAATTTTCTTAAAACAGTTTAGAAGTCAGCTGCCAACAGGGAATACGACTGCTTTAAGGATGCTGTACTGTTACATTGCAAGTCTATGGTTCTTTCTATTAATACTTGATTCTGCTATATTAGAAGTCCTTCTATTTCACTACACAGCAGACTGCCCACTATAATTCACATTGGCTTTTGTTTTGGTTTCTTTTGCAATTTCATGTATCTCCCGAAGGAAGATATATTACAGTAGGGTATATATGCAGACCTCAAATTTATTTTTTCTTCTTTGTACTGCAATTGAGTCATCCAGGGACTTTTCCTTTTTTTTTTCACAACAAAAGAAAACTTGTGAGTTGTGATTTCTTTTTCATGCACATAGAATTGGGATGATGAGGATGAGTTAATGGAAATGAATGAGATGAGCATAATACTCACGATGCCAGTGCATTTCACTGCATTTATTCTAGACAGCCTTACCTTTCCTCTCTGTGATAGTCCTGTAAGAATTGGAGGATTATTTTATTGAAGAAAGTTTTATATTGAGTCAGCGGTGACTAAAATACATTCATGTTGATTTAAGATTTTATTATCAAACTTGGATGTCACCCATCTGCCAAAGATGATTCTAGGCAGATATTGAATAAAAGGCAGATTAACACTTTAAAGCAATAAATAAAAGTCATAAATTCCATGACTGATGGGCCCGCAGTATGACCTTTCAGCTGGCATGGGTGGACTATTCCATCAGGTTGAGCCAGTTTCTCAGATAGACTGAACCCATGCCACGAAAGGCTTTCAAGATAATAACCAACACCTTGAAATGGACCTGGAAGCAAACTGGCAGGCAGTGCAACTCATGGAACATCAGTATAACATGGCCTACCCTAAGGACCCCAAGAACTGCCTACGCAGCTGCGTTCTGCACCAACTTCTGGATCCCCTTCAAGGGTAGCCCTATATAGAGTGCATTGTCCAAGCATGAGATGACCAGGACTTGAGTGAGTGCAGGGACTCCCAATCTAGAAAGGACGCAACTGGCATGCAACATGAAGTTGTGCAAAGGCTCTCCTAGCATTGACTGCAACCTCATTGAGTAGCAGACACAAGTCCAGGAGAACACCAGATTATGCACAGGGTCCCATCCAAAACTAAAGAAATCCTAGAACTTTCATTTATTCATACCTTGTTTTGCAGAACAAAAGTAAATTAAATATGTGTGAATTGCATGATGAGAATGTTAATATTTACTGTCTCTTAGCTCTCCTGAAAAAAACAAAACAAATATTGATTGAGCAATGTTGATAGGACTTAAGTGCTTTGGCTGAACTTGTAAGAATTTACAGTGATTCCATAATCCTTGCATATTCACTCAGAATAAAGACCTAGTTTGTTCAGCGTAAAATAGCTTCTGACTCAAGTATAGGATTCCATGGATTGGAAATAAATTGCACAAGAAGAAATCGGGTGGAGAGTGGATATTCTGAGATAAGGTATGTATTGGTGTCAATATAACCTGTCTCTAACAGCTGTTA